CCCTCCCCAGATGCCCCAGACCCCCCAAACCCCCCCTCTTTCACAGCAGGGTCCACCCAAACCCCTCCCAACCCTCCGTCCCCGCCCCCAGACCCCCCAAAATCCCCCCCGGGTTCCCCCCCAGGCCCGACCTGTTCCGGGGTGGCCTCGGGGACGGTGACGGGCAGGGGGGTCACGTCCCGGGGCTCCCAGGCCCCCGCAAACAGGTTGTGCAGGTAATTCTGCAGGTACCTGGGGAGGGGGTCGGGGGGCTGATTTAGCCCCAGGCGGGCTCAGCTCAGCCCCCAAACCAGCCCGGTTTAACCCCAAAACTGAGCCCAGTTTAACCCCAAACCAGCCCAGTTTAACCCCAAAACTGAGCCCAGGTTAGTCCCAAACCAGCCCGGTTTAACCCCAAAACTGAGCCCAGGTTAGTCCCAGACCAGCCTGGTTTAACCCCAAACTGAGCCCCCAAATCAGCCCAGTTTAGCCCCAGACGGGCTCAGCTCAGCCCCCAAACCGGCCTGGTTTAACCCCAAACCAGTCCAGTTTAACCCCAAAACTGAGCCCAGTTTAGCCCCAGACTGGCTCAGCTGAGCCTCCAAACCAGCCCAGTTTAACCCCAAACTGAGCCCCAAACCAGCCCGGTTTAACCCCAACCAGCCCAGTTTAACCCCAAAACTGAGCCCTGTTTAGTCCCAGACTGAGCCCCCAAACCAGCCCAGTTTAACACAAAACCAGCCCAGTTTAACCCCAAACTGAGCCCAGTTTAGCCCCAGACTGGCTCAGCTCAGCCCCCAAACCAGCCCAGTTTAACCCCAAAACTGAGCCCAGTTTAACCCCAGACTGGCTCAGCTCAGCCCCCAAACCAGCCCAGTTTAACCCCAAACTGAGCCCCCAAACCAGCCCAGTTTAACCCCAAACCAGCCCAGTTTAACCCCAAAACTGAGCCCAGTTTAGTCCCAGACTGAGCCCCCAAACCAGCCCAGTTCAACCCCAAACTGGTTCAGTTTAACCCAGCCCAGCCCAGTTTAGCCCCAGCCTGGCCCAGTTTAAACCAGACTCGGCCCAGCAGAGCCCCTGGCCCAGTTCAAGTCCAGCCCAGCCCAGTTTAACCCCAAACCATCCAAGTTTAACCCCAAACCGGTCCAGTTTAACCCTGAACCAGCCCAGTTTAGCCCCAGCCTGGCCCAGCCCAGCGAGTCCCAGTCTCACCAGTGCACGACCTTCCCGCGCAGCCCCCGGGGCCCGCGGGCCCCCCCGAGCTCCCTCTGCACCAGGTGGAAGGGGTACAGCACATCGATGGGCAGCTCCACGAACACGGGGCCTGCAGGGGGACCCCAAAACCTCCTCAGGACCCCAAAAACCGCCTCAGGACCCCAAAAACCTCCTTGGACCCCAAAAACTCCCTGGAAACCCAAAAACGGCCTCAGGAACCCAAAAACTCCCCAGGACGGCAAAAAAAACCCTCAGAACCCCAAAAATCTCCTCAGGACCCCAAAAATCTCCTCAGAACCCCAAAACACTCCCCGGGACCCCAAAAATCGCCTCAGGACCCCAAAAACCTCCTCAGAACCCAAAACCCGCCTCAGAACCCCAAAAATTCTTTGGATTCCCATATCCTCCCCGCTCAAGAGTATTTTTTGGGGTTCCTCTCCCCCCGGGGTTATTTTTTGGGGTGTCCCCCCCATCCTCTCCCCCGGGGCTGTTTTTTGGGGTTATTTTTGGGGGTGTCCCCCCATCCCCTCCCCATGGGGTTATTTTTTGGGGTTTCCCTCCCCCCGGGGCTGTTTTTTGGGGTTATTTTTTGGGGTGTGTCCCCCATCCTCTCCCCCGGGGGCTGTTTTTTGGGGTGTTCCCCTCATGGGGTTATTTTTGGGGGTTCTCTCCCCCCGGGGCTGTTTTTTGGGGGTATTTTCGGGGTGTCCCCCCGTCCCACACCGGGGGTGTTTTGTGGGGTGTCCCCCTCCCCATCCTCTCCCCCCCGGGGTTATTTTTTGGGGTCTCCCTCCCCCGGGGCTGTTTTTTGGGGTTATTTTTTGGGGTCCCCCTCCCCATCCTCTCCCCCCGGGGCTGTTTTTGGGGGTTATTTTTGGGGGTGTCCCTCACCGGGTCTGTTTTTTGGGGTCCCCCTCGATCCTCTCCCTCCGGGACTGTTTTTGGGGTTATTTTTGGGGGTGTCCCTCATTGGGGCTGTTTTTTGGGGTCCCCCTCGATCCTCTCCCCCTGGGGTTATTTTTTGGGGTCTCCCTCCCCCTGGGGCTGTTTTTGGGGGTTCTTTTTGGGGTGTCCCTCACCGGGGGTCCCGCTCTGTGCGGCGGCGATGGCCCCGCGCAGGGTGGGGACGATTTCCCGCACGGTTCCCACGGACACGGAGACCTTGCAGAGGGTCCGGAACAGAGAGAGCTGCTCGATGTCCTGCAGAGCACCACGGCCCTGGGGGGACAACAACGGAACAACGGGATCAGACCGGGAATGTCGGGATCAGCAGGGAATGCCGGGATCAGCCCGGGATCCTGGGATCAGCAGGGAAAGCTGGGATCAGCCCGGGATCCTGGGATCAGCAGGGAAAGCTGGGATCAGCCCCCTGGCCCTGCGGGGACACCAAGGGAATAACGGGATCAGCCCGGGATCCCGGGATCAATCCGTTGGGAAACAAAGCCTGGGATCCCGGGAAACACAACCGGGAATGCCGGGATCAGCCCCCCGGCCCTGGGGGGACACCAACGGAATAACGGGATCAGAACGGGAATGTCGGGATCAGCAGGGAATGCCGGGATCAACCCGGGATCTCGGGATCAGAAGGGAATTCCGGGATCAGACCAGGATCAGCAGGGAATGCCGGGATCAGCCCGGGATCCTGGGATCAGCCCCTCGGGAAACACAGCCCAGGATCCCAGGACCAACCATGTTTCCATCCCAGGGTGGTTTTTGGGGTGTTTTTGGGGTGGTTCTGGGCCGGTTTTGGGGGATTTTTGGGGTGATTTTGGGCTGGTTTTTGGGTGGTTCTGGGACGGTTTCTGGGGTGGTTTCGGGGGATTCTTGGGGTGGTTATGGGGTGGTTTTTGGGTAGGTTTTGGGGTGGGTTTTGGGGTGTTTTTAGGGTGGGTTTGGGCTGGTTTTTGCGGTGTTTTTGGGGTGGTTTTGGGCAGGTTTTTGTGGCGTTTTTTGGGGTGGTTTTGGGGTGGGTTTTGGGGTGGTTTCGGGGTGGTTTTTGGAGTGGTTTTTGGGGTGGTTTTTGAGGTTGTTTTTGGAATGTTTTGGAGGTTTTTTTCGGGTGGTTTTGGGGTAGTTTTGAGCTGGTTTTGGGGTAGTTTTTGAGGTGGTTTTTGGGGTGGTTTTGGGGTGGTTCTGGAGTATTTTTGGGTTGGCTTTTGTGGCGGTTTTTGGGTGGTTCTGGGGCGGTTTCTGGGGCAGTTTTGGAATGGTTTTTGGGGTGGTTTTGGAGTGGTTTTGGGCTGGTTTTTGGGTGGTTCTGGGGCGGTTTTGGGGTGGGCTTGGTGCGGTTTTTGGGGTAGTTTTGGGGTGGGTTTTGGGGTAGTTTTTGGGGTGGTTTTCAGGTAGTTTTTGAGGTGGGTTTTGGGGTGTTTTTGGGGTGGTTTTGAGGTAGTTTTGAGCTGGTTTTTGTGGCGGTTTTTGGGTGGTTCTGGGGCGGTTTTTGGGGTAGTTTTTGAGGTAGTTTTTGAGGTGGTTTTTGGGGTGTTTTTGGGGTGGTTTTGGGGTGTTTTTGGGGTGGTTTTCAGGTGGGTTTTTGGGGTGATTTTTGGGGTGGGTTTTGGGGTAGTTTTGGGGTGGGTTTTGGGGTAGTTTTTGGGGTGGTTTTCGGGTAGTTTTTGAGGTGGGTTTTGTGGTGGTTTTGGGGTGGGTTTTGGGGCACTTTTAGGGCGGTCTTGGAGTGGGTTTTGGGGTGGATTTTGGGGCAGTTTTTGGGCTGGTTTTTGTGGCGGTTTTTAGGTGGTTCTGGGGCGGTTTTGGGGTAGTTTTTGGGGCGGTTTTTGCGGCGGTTTTTGTGGCGGTTTTTAGGTGGTTCTGGGACGGTTTTTGGGGCGGTTTTGGGGGTATTTTCAAGGTGTTTTTTGGGATGTTCCCACCTTCTGCAGCGAGGCAGCCGCCCCTCCCAGCAGCAGCAGGGGGGACTCGGCCATCTGGGCGTTCTTCACGGCCGTCACCGCGTTGGTGACCCCGGGGCCGGCCGTGACGGCGGCGACCCCGATGCGACCTGGGGGGGGGGAGAGGGGGAGTTTGAGGGTCCTGGGGTCAACCAGAGCTCCCAAATTATCTTCAGGGGGAACAAAACCCACCCTGGAAGGATCTTAGAGACCCCCAAAGTCATTGAAACCTTCTCAGCTCAACCAGGAGCCACCAAGGTGGGACCCCCCAACTGGGGCAGGTGTTGGCCATGGGGTCACCTCCTCATCCTGTCCCCACCAGAGATCCCAAAAATCATTTTCAGGGGAGACAAAACCCACCATGGAAAGATCCTGGAAACCCACAAAGTCTTTGAAACCTTCT